CGTCCTGGCCAAATTTCCCATTGGCCCTTACCAATCATGGCCTCCTAATAATCCCCCTCTATGAATTGGCTACATTACTCTGCTCTCCTCCCCACTGATATCTGATGTGTGGGGAGCGTTCTGGTACACTATGGCTGTCGTTGCATCATCCAGGTGGATGCTGGATAGTGGTGGTGGAGGGGAGTCCCCATTACCTGTAAAGCGCTCTGAGTGGATTGTCCAGAAAAGCGCTATATAAGTGTAAGCAATTATTATTATTATTATTAAATTAAACAGGACTATACTTAACATTCCAAGACTATAAGGAATTCAATGCAATTAAGAAATTAATTCAATGTAGACCTAATTCATTTTAAAATTGAATAAAACTAAAAACTTTATACATTATACACATAAATTAAACTCCATGACAAAACTATTTCAGTTTTAGTTAACTGTAAATAAGAGTATAGTCATAATTTAATTGACCAGACGAACTCAAAAGTGTCTGACTACAAAGTGACTAATAGACATCACTAATAGACATTTTGGGAACAAGTAAAGGTTTGTTTCATGCTGAAAAGAGAAGAAAATAAATGTTTCGGCTGTGGAGCCTTCTTCGGATGTCACATGCTGACGCATCTACCTACTTGAACTAAAAGACATTTTAGTTGACTTGACTGGTGACTGACCTGTTGACTAGATTGGGGTTTTTAAGTCACCTGACTGGAAAAAACTCTTCCCACACTAACTGCAGCTGAATGGTCTCTCTCCTGTGTTAATGCACTGGTGCCTTTTTAAGACAAGCGATTGACTAAAACTCTTCCTACACTGACTGCAGCTGAACGGTCTCTCTCCTGTGTGAATGTGCTGGTGGGTTATTAAGTTACTTGACCGACTAAAACTCTTCCCACACTGACTACAGCTGTATGGTCTCTCTCCTGTGTGGATGCGCTGGTGCATTTTTAGGTGATGTGATTTAATAAAACTCTTCCCACACTGACTGCAGCTGAATGGTCTCTCTCCTGTGTGAATAAGCAGGTGTGATTTTAAGTATCTTATCCGAATAAAACTCTTCCTACACTGACTGCAGCTGAACGGTCTCTCTCCTGTGTGGATACGCTGGTGCATTTTTAAGTCATGTGATTTAATAAAACTCTTCCCACACTGACTGCAGCTGAACGGTCTCTCTCCTGTGTGAATGCGCTGGTGGATTTTTAAGTCATATGACTGAATAAAACTCTTCCCACACTGTCTGCAGCTGAATGGTCTCTCTCCTTTGTGGATACGCTGGTGCATTTTTAAGTTATGTGATTTAACAAAACTCTTCCCACACTGACTGCAGCTGAATGGTCTCTCTCCTGTGTGAATGCGCTGGTGG